CGCCGATCCCCTCGGAACAAATTGTAAAGGATTCGAAATGTACACAGACGTCAAATATTAAACACCAAAACTCCGAAGCTCCCGTATTTGTCAAACATATTTCCTCCGAGCATACAATATGCCTTTGTATATATACGAATATCTTTTAAGATTTGCAACCAAAATGTTCAGGTTTATTTTAATATTTCTCAGAATTACTTTTCCAGTCTAACGGATTTTTCTCAATTAGAAGGAAACCTAATTAAAATTTACATTATTTACGAGTTGTGATACATTTTTAATGAGTTTTACTTATTTATCTTAAATTAATTTAATTCAGCGCTACAGCCATTTTAGCCTCAAATTCGTACACAAATTTTAGATTTAATAATTTTTTTTACAGGAAAGTAGGTTACGGCATTCTTCAGTTCCTTCCAATTTTTGGATCTTTGGATATGCCGCTTTGCCCACGATTTTTCTTTTACCGTTACGAGCAACTATGTACCCTTTGAAAGTAAATTTCTGTAGGTTATCACTACTCTGTTGCTTTGAATTATGATTTTTTATTAATAAGTTTTAGAGTTCCAAAATTGAGGTAAGTTTTATTATGACAGAGAAGTGTTGGTCTAGTGGCTTCAGCGTGCGACTCTCATCCCGGAGGTCGTAGTTTCGACCCCGGCTGTGCACCAATGGACTTTCTTTCTATGTTCGTATATTACATTCGCTCGGTAAAGGAAGACATTAAGAGGAAACCGGCTTGCCTTAGACCCAAAAAATCGACGGAGTGCGTCAGGCACATGGCTGGCACCTACCTATTACATTAATAAATGATCATGAAACTGATACAGAAATCTGAGGCCCAGACCTAAAAAGGTTGTAGTGCCACTGATTATTATTATTATTATTCATTGTGACATTATGTTTTTTGCTTACAACATCTAAATTTCAAAGATGTAACATACGTAATAATTGCATTTATTTCTTACAAATCAACTTATATGTATACTTATTTATTGTATGCAGTAGTAGTGTTGACCTAGTGATGTGCACTAAAAGATATAACTTTCTATGTGAGCGTTTCATACTCGTTCATACAGGGAATATAAATATCGTAAGGAAACCGACATGTATAGAAACAAAAGTCGACGCGCCACAGATAATCACGTATGTGACTTATAACAGACGCCACAAATATATAAAACTCAGGCTATCTTAGATTATATTTATTCTCTCCACAAATCCTAACTTCATATGCATACAAATTACATATCGTTGACAAGTGAGCTAAATATATTCAAGCCACAATTCTCATATCACGATGTCTAGTCGAGTAGGATGCGAGGTATAGCATTCTGCACGCTTCAGTATTGCCGATTGCGTGCGGTTCACAGGAGTCGGTCAGATTAGTAAACAGTAAGGTATGATTAATAGGTGTTTATAGAGATTAACATTTAGTGAGAGGACGGTATTATTATAATTTAAAGACAATGAGTATACGAGCCAAGACCGTACATTTTGCTCACTCAGGCTTTATTAACCACTCGCGTACAACAATTGAATATAAGCGAAATAATGAAATGTTAATTGCTATTTAACGAATGAATGCAATGTAACAGTTGAAGAGAATGCCTACGTCTTGCTATACTCTCGGGGCGTAATTCGGAACATTTAGGAAATCACCACGCTCATAAAACTAAGAAAGCCCGAGTGAGCAAAATGTACAGCCTTGGCTCGTACAATGAGCTTATATTACCAATAAGTTTTACTTCCATAAAAGATGTACAAAATAAACATCATAAAAACCCTATGAAGTCATAAGTATTATGGACCGCCTCTCTCCAAAGAAGAATTATAAACTAACGATATTATAGAATGCCATTTTAACTATAGTACAATGCATAATATATAAAATAACTGGTAAACTCAAGATAAATATTAAAGAAATGTTTATTCTATGGCTAATTAGCGTGTTAAGGCGAAACTAGGGCGTACTAAGCGTTAGTCTTATTTCTATTAGCGTCGCGAACGTTAAACCGGGCTTAACCTGATTGTAAGCGTCGGTGGATGAAATTGGGATGCCCTTCTCCATCCTTGATGAACTCCTGCTAAAACAATTTCAGACACCTGATGCTGTCAATTGCACTTTATATATACTGTGTTGAGTTGGTACTTAAGAATAACTTTTTCAATTAATAGACAAAGCAAATCAATGTTAAGCTACTTGAAGCATCTCGACAACCAAACAGCACACGTATCTGTCCAAGAAGACATAATTTACCAAAAACATTAAAATATCTTCCTTTATAGAGTTTTTAAAAATCGACTTAATGTACTAATTTTGAAAAAAATTAATTATTCTATTAATAATTATTTGCGTGAAACATTATAATTAATATTAATTTGATATCGTAATAATATATTTTAATAATGTGATGATGAAGTGATAAATACATATAAGAATTTACTATAATCAATAATGTTATGACTATGTAAAATTCTTTTAAGACAAATTTGCATGCTATGTATGGCAGAATATGCGAATTTTAGGTTATTTTGTATCATGGTCTTGCAACTAAATTATTATTATTTTTATTATAGACCAATATGAGCAGTTGAGTAAATATTAAGTAAAGTTAATTAAGTAAATATCTTAAATTAAGATTAAATAGAAATAGTAATGTGATCATAAATGATAAAGGAATGCCACTTACAGTATTATTAAGCATAATATCAACTTCCTGAAGAGCCCGCCCGACTGAAATATGGCTGTTCATAAAGTGAGAGGACGGTGTAATGGAACTTAAACGTGACCACGTAGTGATGACGCGCCCACGGATTATATTAAAATGTTATTTCCTTGAATAATCTACTTAAATAATTGAAAAACTGAGCAGTGTTGGCCTAATGACTTCAGTGTGCGACTCTCATACCTGAAGTCGTAGGTTCACTGGCTGGCTGTGCACCAATGGACTTTCTTTAAGCGTCCCGTAGGCTCGTTTGCCCTATTATATAAAAATAATTATAGCGAGGGCTTCCCGAAACCCATCACAGTAATATAATCTATAAAGTTATCTAGTTTTATATTTATTTATTGTAGTGTTTTAATGAGTGAATTAGCAAGTATTCCCGAACCAAACAGTATTCCCATTAAATAAATACCAAACTATTAACTACAACTTACTATCTACACTTTGCATCACACTGTAAACAATACAGTTATTAATATTGCTGATTGTAAAACTTTATGCAACTTGAGTTATCGTCAGAACAAAACTCATTTATAACAACGTCAATTATCATCGGACAACTCGCTGAAAAACTGCCATCATAACACTCAGCAATTTAATTTTATATGAATGTCATAAATATTAAAACTTCCTGTTACATTTTTGTATGGAAATTGCTATGCAGCGTACTAAAATATATAAAATATATAGATTTAAAAATAAAAAATAAATCATTGGCGCTGCAACGTATTTAGATCTGGGCCCCAGATTTCTGTATCTGTTTCATAGTCATTTGTCAATCTAATAGGCAAGTAGGTGATCAGCCTCCAGTGCCTGACATACGCCGTCGACTTTTTGGGTCTAAGGCAAGTCGTTTCCTCACGATGTTTTCTTGGCCGTTCGAGCGAATGTTAAATGCGCACATAGAAAGAAAGTCCATTCGTGAACAGCCGGGGATCGAACCTACGGCCTCAGGGTTGAGAGTCACACTCTGAAGCCACTACGCTAACACTGCTCTATATGAAAGGTTCAGTATTAATTATACCTAATATAAACGGCAAGAAAGATTTTTGGGTTCTTTGCTCATGGTCTACTGATACCTGAACTAGGTCACTTTTATAGTATTTTGCAGCAGACAATGTTTCAGATACCACCTTAGACTATTTCTTGTTGAAAATCCTATATTGTTCTAAAACACAGTCTTATAAAAAATATACCATTTTGAGGCAAGAGAGATAGCCCAACTTTTTAATTTATTGCGTCATTACGAGAAAATGAAAAAACTCCGGGCCAGTGGAATTCACTAATGTAGCTCGTAAAATTATGCGTAGAGGTATAAGTATTCATGAATATCGTGATTTGCATAGATATATTTGGAAAATGGATTTACATGCTTTTCCGAGAGCGTTCACTATTTTACATTCTGTATTATTACGAAACCCAGCTTTTAGATAAACATGAGTTGGGAATTTAGTGTCATAATATATGAATATTATCTCAATCAGAAATATATTATAATCATCAAGCTAACTGTCACTGTGGATTAAAATCCCACCTGAACTCATCATAGGTTATAAATTTTAATTGACAATTCACGGAAGTCATATTTAGCGATTTCGAGACGTTCACGACTCTGAATACGCCACAGTGGGAGGCTGGCCTGGCTTGATATGGAGAAACTGAAAACTTGCTTCTGGGGGAAGCTCCTTCTAATGTAACTTTTGATTCATTTTCAAACTCAATGGTAGCTTTACAAAACATTGTTATATTAATATATTACAATACAGCTTTCTTAAAAGAGGTTGACCTCTTTTGATTATTTTGACTTATTTAATGGTCTTGAACAGATTTCGATGAACATTCCATGTCTTAATTGTAAATATCTATTGTCCCTAGTAATTGCAATTAACAGCACCGCTTTATTGTATAATTACCAACAAAACGTTAAATAAAATAATAACAGCGTCCACTAAAGTAAGTGGGAAATTACGCTCAAACCCTTAATCTGGGCTTAAAACCTATTTCAGCTGAATAATAACCCTGTGAAGCGAAATCCTTTCTTAGCGCGACGCCAGGTTTGAGGGCGAAATGACGTCATAAAACAAGAGTTCTCACGACTTAAGATGTTTGCTGAAATACTAAAGATTCGAGCTCGTTGACGGTTTTATTCACCATCAAAAAACCTCGCTGTACTACTTAGGCTATTTTTATTCAATGTTTTCAAGTCGTGTGTGTTAATTTTTAAATATGACATTCATTCAATTTGTATAAAAAATAGAAATAAAGAAGTTGCCGTCATTGGTATATATCTTGATTTATTGAGTATAAATAACTGTTCACTATAATAAGAAAATATATAAAAATACCTGAAACATATAAATAAATTAGATTTACTTACACTTTAATCCTACGCATTTATGTACTACTTAAACATATACGGTACTAAAAATCGTTTATAAAAATAGTTTGAAACTCGACTCATTGAGGGGTCTACGACGTAACCTCGCTACGCCTGTGTATATAAATTTATAAAAAAGTATACAATACTTTTTTATAATATGAAAGGTTCCAAAATATTTAATATATCACCTTCATATAAAATCCCAATAGAAATTGTTATGCAAGCTGTCACATAATGTTTCTCGGCAAAACAAATAATCACTTTAATTGTGAACAGAACAAAATAGATTGTCAAAATTGATAAGTGTGATGTATACCACAAAGAATATATATAGAAGATTCCTTGGCCCTGAAATTATAAATAGGAATGAATAATATTAAGATGTTATACTACGTTTTAATCATGTGAGAACGCGATTAGCCTACCTGTGCTTACCAGCGCGACAAATAGTTAGTGTTAGATAGTTTCGCAGATTATATTACATTTTTATAAAATTATCTCAGAAATGCGCGGATAAGTAACAGATATACGGTACAATGAACATATAATAACGGCGCAAAGCCAAGTTGTGGAAACAGAAATACAACATAAACAAGTGTCTACTTCGCATCATTCATTTAATTTATAGGTAATCGAAAAACGATTTAAACGTGTGCCAAAACATACCACATGCCAAAGCAGTATGGCTGATATGAGGATCTGATAAGTGGAGAAACTGGAGGATACAAGTGAGAAAATAAAGTTCATCGCTGCAACCGGATGAGCGTTTAACAACTTATCCGATCTCAACGTAAGTGTGGCACAAACCAGCGACAGTAGAAGAACTATTGATGAAATAACCTGGAATAAGAGAATATTTTCTTATTTTTAACAATACAGATAGATTATGTATGGAACCGTAAAGAATCTTACATATTTAATATAATATTTACACATTTTAACAAAAAAAAACTCGTAATTGTATAATGCTCGTTTGTAAAGATTGTGAAGAAGTGCGCCCGAAACAACACAAATAAATATGACGCATTTATCATAAATATTGCAATATTTTGGTATGTATAAATAGTAAATAGAGCAAAATAACTTCAGCTATTAAATAAGACATTAAAAACTCGTTTCGCACGGGTAAAGAATAAATTTGAAAACGTGCAAAGCTGAACAGTCAATTGTTGAGAGGAGAAAATGTCTAGCTGAGTTGCAGTGAAACTGGAGTATGACGTTAGATGTATGAGTATCATTTATCCGCTCCGACTCTACACAAAGTTAGACAAAGCTTCCGATCACACGTCTAAGTGCAATATAGGCTGCCTGTAACGTGAAAATATTGCCTTTGTGATACATATAGCCTTGTACATGCATTACTACATAATTTGCAACTCAATTTCTACACCAAACAGGGATTGAATTACATCTTTTATACGTGTGTTGTATTCCAAAGAAACAAAACATGACACAGAGCTGTACTAATTGAACTACTTTTTTATGCATCGTTTAGAAGATCTCTGACATATTATATTGGTCTAAATGAGCTTTAGTACGAAACAGACTGAGGGTTGAAGTTGTATAATTATAGTTTTTGTACGGTAGTATAATAATTGTATATACGCCAGCTTTGTACTGTTTAAAAATAAGGTGCGATTTCTTTCAATTTATGTATTTGAGATCTTATCTTGAATACGAATACAAAAATGCATTGAAGTGCGTCACGCACGTTACCGATACATAATAATAATGACGTTTTATTTACATAACAACACAAAACTGCATAAAAAATAAAATTAAAGTTCGGTTAATGGGCGGTTTTACTGCTTAAAGCAGTTCTTTATGTATATTTTTTAATAGCTTTCAGACACCTCTGTTAAAAAAATATACATAAAAACATTAAATAGACTTAATCTTAAAACACACACATAACGAGACTTATTAACATTTTAAGGTAAAAATAACAAATGTTTTATATGCAAAATAGTGATGTTTCAAGGCTTTATTCTCGTTATAAGAACTGTTACCAAGTTACTTTGTAACATCTTTATGTAGATATTACAAAGTAACTTTATAAAATAAGTAAATTTAAGAAACAGACCCAACACCATGCTAAAGATATGCCGAACTCACCACTGTGGCTATTCCCACAAACATAACACCATGTTGTAAACTCCGGCCGCATATTGTATTAACATAACAGCACCTAAATTTACCATCTGATTTAGGCATTGTACCAAAATGTTTATAAAAATTTTAATATTTTCATTATTCATGACGCGTTACCTTATTACTGTCATAACACTGTCAGTAGACACAAGTTACACACGTGCACACAGGTGTGAACTGTCTTTTACGCACGCAAGTGAAGTATCTTCACTCTGTGTACAGTGTACACTATTGCCAATTTATTGTTATAATATTCGCCATAGCAACATAAATTGTACTAAACACCATCTAGCTTAGAAAATATGTTACGTCTAATAAATGACAATTTTATTAGAGAAACAACGCCAACGAAAATTATTTATTACGAAGATAAATTGTTCGTAGTTTAAGGAGTAAGGACGTAGTCATCTATCTTCACCATATCTTTATCCATTTTTTTATAACCACTGTTATCTGTATGCGTTTTTCTTAACCTTTTAGGCGTTTTTTTCTATAACTAGTAATTTACCAGCATTATTGAATTTAATTTAATTATGCCCATATAGAATAACATTTCGGTAAAATAATTAATAGTTGTGAAACTGCCATAACATTAGCGCTGAACTAATATTTGTTTGGGACCATATATGAGTTTATTTTGTTGAATTAATCGAGTATTCAATTTGCTTCTTGTTATAATCAAATATTGTATTTACTAGTTATGATCACAAAATAATAATTATTTAATTATTTTTAACTATACTATGATCAATATCAGAATCGTAATAGCATTTCAACTTACCTAACTGAATTTCCGTTACGGCAATTCTTAGAAGCTATAACCAACTAATTAAAAAGACGTATTGCAGGTTCGACTTCAGCATATTGACATTACAAAGGCAAATTCACTTTACTATAAGATAATTAAATTCCTTCAAGTGTTCCTAATAATACTAAGAATATTTGGAATCACCCACAAAATACACTTTCAAACAAAACATTTATTCTAAATCATTATCCTAAATCTGGCGTCCTTTAGAAAAACATTCGATAGAAAATCTAATCCTTGTTGAAAACACAACACCTAATAGTTTACCGATCCATGTTAGCATTTAGATTTATTAACTTCTATTTCTAATTTATCGAGGTCTAAAAGGGAAATTATGTTTAGTAATTTAACTTTAACGAGCTCTCCAGTAATATTTAAATAAGTGGAGTAATTAAGACAACCTCGCAGTGCAACGTTTAAAACTTAGATTGCTTTAAGCCTCTATTTCCTGTTTATTTTTCAGTATTCAAAAGCTGGCAGCGTGTACTTTCGCCGCTGAAGTACGATTAACTTACTAAAAGATCTTTTAAGTCACTTTTACTTTTTCACTTTAGAAATAAATAGAAACCTGTAATTTCCTTCACTGAGCAGTGTTTGGCCTAGTTTCTTCAGCGTGCGACTCTCATACCTGAGGTAGTGGTAAGTGGGTTCGGTCCCCGGCTGTGCACCAATAGGCTTTCTTTCTATGTGCGCATTTAACATTTGCTCGAACGGTGAAAGAAAGCATCGTGAGGAAGCCAGCATGTCTTAGACCCAAAAAGTCAAGGGCGTGTGTCAGGCACTGGAGGCTGATCACCTACTTGCCTTTAAAATTTAAAAATGATCATGAAACAGATTCAGAAATCTGAGGCCAAGATTAAAAGAGGTTGTAGCGCCAATGATTTGTTTAAATATTAATTTCCTTTCCAATTTCTAGCATCTAATTTTGCCTTCCACATTAAAAAAAATAATTCATAAATATTAATTGTAAAGTAGAAGGCAGACAAAAGTTATAGATTACTTGCCTATGAAATAAATTAATAATGATCCAAACACGGTTACGAGACTACCATGTTAGTATTATGAACATCTATTCACCTGTAACATTTAATCTTGTCTAAATAAAGAAACTACACATAACAGAACTATACTTGTAAGATCAAAACAAGCCTACTTTCTTAATAAATATAGTCTTATTTGTTGGCAAAACAAGTTAAAAATATTCAAATATATGATTAAAATATGCCGAGGAACCCTTATTTAGCATAACATACGGTACTCGAGTATTTTCCATATTACAACAACAATAAATTATTCAAAAACGAGAACATTTTATTGTACACAACAACGCGATGCCTAAATTGTAACAAATTGTTGTATGTAAAATATAAGAAAAAACCTATAATAAAACATATATTTTATAAAAGTTGCAAGTATGTAAAACATACACAGTTTTAGTACAATAATATCCTTGTGATACAGAAAATCCAGAATACTGGAAAACAATCGTTCCCATTGTACGAAATTTTTGTTATTCCATTAAACATTTACATAAAACTGAAAATTAAATGAAAAGTTTCACGAGCAAGTTGCTAGTTGTTCTCTATAGTACTTATTTTACTGGTCGCTGTTAACATCAACTAGCAGTAATAGTGGGCCATTCAACTCGTCCAAAAAATATAGCGACCCCATTTTATTTGTTTGAAACTTCATGTAAATGAGAAACAAATGAATAATTATTAAACATGTATTCTGTTTTTCTGATGCAGTTGCCTACAGGCTATTACTATTATAAACATACGCATAATGTATGGAATTTTCCCCCACTTGGTATAGCCATAGGTGGAACTTTAACACCTAGTCCAATTTAACCCCAAGAAGACACAAGTTTGCGCGTTTTCCGCTAAAAAAACACCCTTTGTCGCTACTCCTCTTTTCGAAAACACTCTTCTTAAAGCCACAGCCAGCATTGGAATACTTGGCGTTGACATATCGAGCGACGTTCAGTTTCGCGGTCACTTGGAGGGAAAGGCTAAATTAGCCTCCAAAAAGCTTGGTGTGCTCAGCAAGGCGAGACGGTACTTCACTCCGGGCCACCGCATGCAAATATATAAAGCGCAAATTCGGCCCCACATGGAGTACTGCTCTCACCTCTGGGCAGGGGCTCCCCAGTACCAGCTCCTTCCACTTGACCGTATACAACGCAGAGCGGTTCGAATCGTCGACGACCAATCCCTCTCCGAGCGGCTTGATCCTTTGGCGTTGCGTAGAGATGTGGGGTCACTCTGCATATTCTACCGCATTTACCATGGAGAGTGTTCAGAGGAGTTGTTCGGATTAATACCTGCAGCTGAGTTTCATCATCGGACGTCGAGACAGAATACGAAATTTCACCCGTATCACCTCGACGTCCGCCGTTCCACAACTGAGCGTTTTTCAAGGCAGTTTTTGCCGCGCACCACCACTATGTGGAATCAGCTGCCCACTGAAGTATTTCCGAACCAATTCAACTTAGGGTCCTTCAAGAAAAAAGCGTACCAATTCTTAAAAGGCCGGCAACGCACTCGCGAGCCCTCTGGCATTGAGAGTGTCCATAGGCGGCGGTATCACTTAACATCAGATGAGCCTCCTGCCCGTTTGCCCCCCATTCTATAAAAAAAAAAAAAAACTTGGTCCTCTAAGTTTATGCATTCACAAACATAATCATAAAACTAACCCGTATTCGTTTAAACAAGACAAAACTAATTACGGTATTATACCTAATGTATTCCTTTCTTAATTTCTGTCACAGAGTATTATGAATGTGACCAAAAAAGATAAATTAGTTAAAACAATATTATCTAATCTTAATATATATATTTATTGTGTGCGTGTGTATGTGACTGAACTTCTCTCAAACGACTGGACCGATTTTGATGAAATTTTTTGTGTGTGTTCAAGGGGATCTGGGAATGGTTTAGATTCACAAATCAGCCCGGCAGATGGCACTGCAGTCGGTACTTTCATACTTTGCTTAATATCCTAATCGCTTTAAATATCATGCAGGACAACGTCTGTGGGGTCCACTAGTATTTATATAAAATTCTCGTGTCACAATGTTCGTTCCCATACTCCTCCGAAACGGCTACCCCGATTCTTATCAAATTTTTTGTGCATATTCAATAAGTCTGAGAATCGGCTTCTATCTATCTTTCAAACCCCTAAATGGTCTTAAGAGTGGTCCACCCCTTTATTTTTATTTTATTTTTTTATGATACAAAAATACACACAACACTTAATTTTCACCCCTCTACGATTAACCCCTATTTTTTATTAGTTAATCTTATGACTTGAACTCTGAGCTTTGTATAGAGAAAAATTCACAGAAAAAAAAGTTTTCATTCCAGAAAACCGATAAGTCTCTGGGGTAGCATAGCAAAATGATCCATATTGGTATGAACTAAAATGGTAGGCTCACATTAAGGAGAAACGAAGTTCGCGGGGGCAGCTATTAAGTCATATATCTTATATTATATTCTGTAACAACTATGTTCCTGTTAATCTATAGTAATCAGATAAATGTTTATGTGTTATTCTCTTGATTATTTAATATAATTGTGATCCATACATACAAAGCTAAATAACTTTATAATACATTCAGTATTAAAAGTAAGTTACTAAATTAAAATACATATGTAGGCTTTCCATATATCACATCCTCGCTCTTTCGTGTCCATACATTACAGGCCCGTGGGACAAGTCGGGACCACGGAGTTACAATCCCTTTTATACACTTTTATGGTACCCCTAAAGTAATATTGTGCTCGGATTCATTATTGTAGTGACATAAATGTAACTTTATGGTCAGCAAAAATATCAGGCCAAATCTAAAGTCAATCATTTAATTAATCATGGAAATTAACAGACTATTTTTATATTAATGATAGACGTAAAAACGTATTTATGACAAAAAGTTGTATAAATTTGAGATCGGTAAATGTGTCTATTTCGTTGACAAGCTATTTGAGATGAGTGGGGAGTTCCTATAAACCCGAAATAATATAGTTTCATCACAGAGATTTCAACCCGATCGAGCTATGTGTACTTTTCTGTAAGCTATGAAGGCGATTTAGTTTGCCGTTAAGTCTAGACTCTAGATGCATACGAATTTCAACCCTAAGGTCGTGCATTCGAACCACAATAGTGCACTACACACAACACAGTGGTTTTTAATCATTCCATGAGTGCAAATAATTCTCATATAATTAAGTAAATCATCGTGCGCCCGACATGATGT